GGATCCCTGGAGCCCGTCGAGGTGAGCACAGAGGCTGCAGCCCCTAGGGAAGGGACAGCTGCGTGCCCAGCTCTGTGTCAGCAGCAGAAGTCACAGTGACACTTAAGGCCACTGCTTGATTTCTTTTTTTTAATTTAATGTTGCTTGGAAACCAAATTCAATATTGCCCAGCTCCAGCAGATCTGCAGTGCTGAATTCATTGCGTGAAGGGAAAGGAGGTTTTTTTTATTTTTATTGTTATTTTCCATTTTTTTTCCCTTTTACAAGAAATAATTCATTTTCCTGCTGTTGGAGAAGGTAGTAATTGATCTAGGGCTTTGCAGCTTGCCTCCCAGAATGGTTTTATTCTTAATGTAGGAATAAAACTCTGTTGGGTCAAATACACCGCAATAAATACAAGAAGCACATTAGCTTTAATATATTGGATTATTCCACTTGGTGGTGACGGAAAAAAACAAGATTTAATTCCCCTGGCAATGCAGGCAAAGAAAATCGCTTTCCCTGCCTCTCTTTTCCTGCGAAGTCATTTTTGTCTGTCAGTGCTAGTGCTGGAGGCTTTGGGGTTTAATTTTATTTATTTATTTTTATTTCTTAACCTGGTGTGAAAGTAAGAAGTACTTTCTCCAAGTAAGCTGTCCACAGGTTCACCCCGTAGCTGCCATTTGGGCTGTTACAGGCTCTATGGGGAGCTCTGGGCGCTGCCAGCAGAGCGGGAGCTGCAGGGAACCGGTGCGGAGCTGTAACCTGCTGTTGGAGCAGGGAGTGCATCCGAAACAGCCGATCCCTCTTTTCCAGACATCCCGGTGTCGTTTCTGTTCCCATCCTGAAGGCAGCTGCGGTGTTGCCTGCTGTGAGGCTCCGTCACTCATGATCCCGCCGATCCGTGCTGTGTCCAACACTCACATTCTCAACGTGCTACCACCTTCCTGCACCAAAGCTTTTCAGCCAATTCCACAGCAGGCCTTTGTGCCGAGCCTGCCCTCCTTGTCCTGGCGTGGCAATGCCAGGGAATCTTTCTCCCACGGTTCCTGCTCTCCTCCGATTTCTCCTTCTCATCAGGAAGGCCCAGATGAGAAGAGGCAAAAATGCTCCGTGCTTCTCGCCGTCACGGCAGGCTGGTCGGTAGGAGGAAGCTCCGCTGTGGACTGGACAAGGGGCAGAGCAGGACTGCAGCAGGGATGGAGCGTTCCTGGCAGGGGACACGTTCCTGGTGTTCGGCACGGTGGAGGGCTGCGGGAAGGGATCCGTTCGGTGCTAAAACCTCCATTGCTAGAGAGGCTTGAAAACAAAAAATGGACTAGAATGACCCGTGTCAGAAGTGATGTGCAAGTGGAGGGGCTGCCCTAAGGGAGAGAAGAGGGCCTAGGCTTGGCAAGCTGAGGTTTCGTGGGTTTGTTTTTGTTCTTTTTTATCCCCCTCTGCAAATTTCTTAGGGAGACTGAGGGAAAGCAGCAAAACAGGAATCCTTGATGGTTAAATGAGCCTTTGCTCTGTGTTTGTCCAGGCAGAGTTACCGCTCCGACGAGCAGGGCTCCTCCAGCAGCACCTAGGCTCTATCTGACTGCGTTTGTTGAAGATGCGAACGGCCTCGCAATAATCCTGCTGGCAATTAATTGGCTTTTGTTCAGCAAGAGTGAACAAGATCTCATCTTAATCTGCTTCATTATTTCTCCTTGTATAGCAGAGTCAACACAAGATTAGGTTTAATTTACAAAAAAATGCAGAGCCATTACTCATATCTGGATCAGGATTTTTATCTGCAATGCTTCATGTGTCAGTATTAATGAGGGGAGCTGTCTAGAGCATGGTAAGGTAGAAATGCACAGCTTGACTTGAGGACCTCTTGGAAGGAGTGCAAGGAGCAGGGCTGTGGTGTCCCCCCTCTGCCTCCTGCCCATCCTTACTGCAGAGGCTTCGTGTTCCCTTTTTCTTGATGCTGGCTCAAGCTGATGCTCTTCTCGGAGGCAAAAGAATCCCGGGATACACACCTGGGAGGAGGCTGTTGGGAGCCAAAAGGAAGCGCTGCGGGGTCCGTGGCAGTAGCAGCCAGGGGCAGATCCGCTTGGATGCCAGGGAGACTGAAGAGCTGAGAGGCCGCTGCAGTGTCTTGGGGTGTTTGTGCAGAGCCCGAGGTGCCTCGGCCGCACGGGAGGGCCCAAGCGGCGTTTTGGGAGCGCTCCGCTGGGCTCCGTCTGGCAAGGGAGGCTCCGCAAGCTACGCCAGACAAGA